ACAACAAACAGCCCATTTCAGCTTCAGCACAGCCTGATTAGCACAAGCAGCTGATTGTCGGTTGGATCAGCCTTCCAACCCTCAGCTGTTTCAGGCTGCAGGGATTGCCATTGCCTATTGCTCCGCTGTTTGCTGCAAGGAGGCAAATTGCTGGGAGGCAGAGGCAGATTTTTTTTTTCTTGTTTTCTCCCCAAAAAAGGTAGGTGTGTCTTATAGTCCGGAACGTCTTATACTCCAAAAAAATACAGTAAGTATGAGCCAGCATTGTGCGGCAGCTGCCAAAAAAGCCAATGCATTAACAAAGGTACAGAATCAAGATCACATGAAGTGATAGTACTACTATATACTATTTTGGTAAGACCACACTTGGAATACTGCATCCAGTTTTGGTCACCATGAAATATAAAAGATGTTGAGACTGTAGAAAAAGTGCAAAGAAAAGCAATAAAGATGTTTAGGGGACAGGAAGCTAAAATGTACGATGGACTCTTGCAGGAATTAAGTATGTCTAGTCTAACCAAAGAAAGACTAAGTGTGACATGATAGCAGTCTTCTAATATTTTTAAGGGGCTGTCACAGAGAAGAGGGGGTCAATCTATTCTCCAAAGCACCTGAAGTAGTGGGTGGAAACTAATGAAGGAGAGAAGCAACCCAGAACTAAGGACAGATTTCCTGGCAGTGGGAACAATTAATCAGTGGAACCGCTTGTCTCCTGGGGTTGTGGATTTCTATCATTGGAGGCTTTTCAGAAGAGACTGGACAGCCATTTATCCAGAATGGTAGAGGGTCTCCTGCTTTGGCAGGAGGTTGAACTAGAAGACTTGCAAGGTCCTTTCATCCCTATTATTGTGTATTCTATGTTTTGCAAAATCAGCCATTAACTTCCTGGCCAGGATTTGAAAGGTTTGATTCCCCAGCTGCCCTGCCATGTTCTATCCCGTATTCACGTTGTCTGTAAAACTGGTCGATCACATCAACCTGTAGAAGTGGCTGGGATAGGAACCACTAAGCTGCTTATCTCGCTGGAGAACCTTGAGCAGAGAGATATGAGAGACGTATGTGGTGTGGAGTCTGTGCCAAGGACATTGGCAGGGCAGCTGGTGACCTCTCTCCTTTCTGGAATGTGGAGACAGTGGAGCCGGTCAGGGATGACCATCAAGAGGAGGGGTGTGCTGCTGTTGTTGGGGTGTTGGGGTTGTGTTGGGGTGTGTCCCTCAACAGCTGAAGAAAATAATGGAGCATTGCTCTGCAGTAGGAGGAACATATAGACAGAGAGAGAGGGAGGGAGGGAGGAGTGGGGACCAGGTTTCCTTGGGGTCTTTAAATGTCTTGAGAGATAAATGTACAGGGAGGTCTGCAATGATATCAGAGGCATTAGATGAGGTACATATTTTAGTGGGGAAATGATATTGTATGGCTGTGAGAATCAAAATAATTTGCAATCAATATTAGGTAGATTTAAAGATGCATCAAGGAGAATGTTTTTGAGAGATAGGAAGCAACAGATAAAGCTTGGGAAAATTACATCTAATACCTGGGAAATTAGCAGAGGCAGCCCCCAGGGCTGTGAGCTCTCTCCATTGGCTCTCCATACATTAGACAAGCCAGAAAGAGGGCTGAGAAAATGTCTACAGACCTCTCTCATCCTGAACATAAATAGTTTCAGCTTCTCCCCTCGGGATGCCGCTATAGGGCATTGCATGCCAAGACTACTAGACCCAGAGACACTTTTTCCCCTCACACCATCCTCATGCCATCACTCTGCTCAACACCTAATCCTCACAGTGCTGCCTAATGTCTATGTGTATGTACCCATGTAGTAGGGCTGTAGTATTATTTACTCTTATTATCTTCTCTACTCCCCCCCCACTCTTATTGGTATGATGATGATGATGACGATCGTTATTGAGGATTGTTATATGCTTTGCAGGTACACTGAGAGCTTCTGCCCCAGAGACAAATTCCGTCTGTGTCTAATCACATTTGGCCAAATAAAGTATTCCATCCAATCCAGTCCAATGAAGCTGAATATTAAAGTTATCGAAGACAAGGTGGCTGTTGTGTTTGACGGGGTAATTGGGACAACAGCATATTGTACAGAAATGTGTGGATCCCGGCCAAAGGTTTACTCCATGTTATCACAGCAGCATTCCTCCGGGTGGGCAGAGGGGTCTGGTAGCCCAAACGGGGTGAGGAGAGCCAGCAATGCCGAGGGCAAGAAAAGGAGCCGGCCTGGGACAGAAGCCCCCCAGGTGCCAGTCAAAGGAGGTCTTTGCAGGGGCATGGACACTTTTCTGGATGCCACCAACAGGATGGGGGGGGGGGCGCAGATTTCAGCATTTTGCTCCAGCCTTTCCTATCTGAAATCTGGTAGGAATCAAATCTAAAGAGAAGCTGAAGATTGATCAGGCCAGACTTTGCTCCGCTTCTCTGACCAGGCAAGGCACAGAAGTCATGATGGTTTGGGAAGGAGCTTACTCGGGAAATGTATGTGAGAATGGAGAGCAGGGCTTGTCAAAAGATTCCTGGGCACTTTTAACCGCAACGTAAATTATGAGACACGTGAAGGCGGTGCTGGACTAGAAAATGTGGGGACCATTTTACAAGGCTGTGGTCAATATTCCTACTTAACTGGGACCTACCCAGTCTGGTATCTGCCTTACGGAAGGAGAACCGGGAAGAGGAGCCGGGGTGGTGTGTTTTGCTTTGGCTAAAGAGCCCTCCGTCTTCTGCCTTGCAGTCCTTCACCTACCTGGCCTGACTTGCTTGGAAATCTTGAATTCGCTTTTCTGTTGATCTTCGAAATGCTTTTGTTTTTTAAGGAAACCCATTAAAACAGGAGAAAAAACCATGACTACCTTACGGAGCATGAAAGCAATGAAAAAGAAACAGGCCGGTAGCATCAATGTGGCATTTTGCCCGAAGGAGGTGGGCTCCCTATGAGGGAAAGGAGGAGTCTGCAAAATCCACCGATACTTCATCAAGGCTGCAAAGCAGCTGGATTTGTACAGAACAGTATAAAAAACGACCACATAAAAGGTTAGAGCGCCCTCTAGTGGCACCATTTTCAAGAGTTTTCCGGGTGTGCTGGGCCTACGACCCTCTTTTCTCAACATTAAAAGTACCCATTTTCCTTTATTTTCACAATTTTTGCTGGTCTTTTTTCTACTTTCTAAACTAATAAATCTCTGTTTCTTTTCTGTGAATTTTAAACATAATTTTATTTAGTGCCGCCGGATTTTGTCTTGTTATTTGGAAACTCTTGGATGAGCCCTAAAATTGCACCCAACTATTTTATAGCTCCTCCCGTTGTTGGTTCATTTCTGTCCACAGGCAACAAGTCCCGCCCCCCCCCCCCCCAATGCAGTTACTAGATCCAGTATATCACATCCTACAACAATGCATTTGCTTTCTATTTCATTTTGCATCTATTATTTTCAAAGCTATTGTTACTTGTAGCTTTGTTCTCTAGGCTATAAAGACCATTCTAAATGTTTCTTTGTTTCTTGTCTCCAAAGCACCTGAAGGCATAGGTGGAAACTAATCAAGGAGAGAAGCAACTTAGAACTAAGGAGAAATTTCCTGACAGAACAATTAACCAGTGGAACTACTTGCCTCTAGAAGTTGTGAATGCTCCAACACTGGAAGTTTTTAAGAAGAGATTGGATAGCCATTTGTCTGAAGCGGTGTAGGGTTTCCTGCCTAAGCAGGGAATTGGACTAGAAGACCTCCGAGGTCCCTTCCAACGCTGTTGTTCTGTTCTGTTCTGTTCTGCTGGCTATTCCTCATTCACTTCATTTGCAAATTGGTTGTGCATCCCCACCTCTTCATCTGAACCATTACAAATACTGAAGAATAAATTGCTCAGGGCTGATCCTGGTGGGGCATCCACTTGAGACCCAAGTTCAGTTGGATGCTGAACCTCTGATGGACCCCCTTGAAAGAGGCCGAGGAACTCCCTAAGGCCAGTGCTGGGAGGGCAAGCAAGCACAGCCCCACCCGAGGCCCTTCTCCTTTGGCCCCCAGGACTTGGCTGAAAGTCTCTGCAGGTTACTGGCCATTTTGGAACGAGAGAAAACAGAGGTGTGAGCTCAGAAACGGAAAAGAAATAAAATTACTTCCAACGGGGAAGAAAGTCCTCATGCAGGATAAAGGCCCGCCCACCCACCCACCATGCCCCTGGCACCTCTCCAAAGTTTGTGTGGCCCCCAACAATTACAACGTGTTCTGTGCCTGCTTCTAATCAGTGAAAAACCATGGAGCCCGTTCGGTCTTCAGGTGCTGGCCTAGAACCCAGGAGCTAGGAATTCAGGTCCCGCCTTAGGCACGGAAGTCAGTTAAGTGACTTTGGGCCCATCACTCTCTCTCAGCCCAACCCAGCTCACAGGGTTGTTGTTGCGAGGAAAGTAGGAGAAGGAACAAGTATTAGACGTGTGCACTATCTAAGATGGGATAAATAACTACGTAGTCATGTAATGCACAGTCCACTCTTCTGCTGTTTACTACCTAGGATGCCACCCTGGCCAAGCTCAGGGGAAGGTATGGCTACTCCCAAATCCATTGGGAGCTCCAGGACCCCACTTGATCACTCTCACCAGTTCCACCCAAATGGTAGGCATTCACTGCACAGCGGCCCACCCCCCACCCCCGGGTGCCTGGGAAAGAGGAGGGGCTGGCGCCATTTGGGAGCCGGTGGGAGCAGCCGGAGAACCGGGGGCCTTCCGTGTCCTGCCGCAAACAGGGAGCATTTGGGGGGGAGGGGTCACATGGCGAAGTGGGATAGTTTGGGGGCAAAATTCTCTGAAGATGCTTCTATCTAACCCAAGGCTGTCCCCTCCAGCAGATGCTGCTCCCCAGCTTCCTGGACCAGACACAGCAAAAGCTGCCAGAGGAGGTGCATGCCAGAGCCCATTCCAAACCCACCCCCCCATTGCCTCTGGCAGGGCAGGGGCCAGACGGGACATCCCGGCTAAGAAAAGACGAGGCTGGAGGAAGCCGCAGCAGCTGCCTTGTCTAAACTTTATTGGCACTGATACAAAGAGACGGGGGGGGGGTGTCGAGTCAAACACCTCGGACAGTAGCAAGTGCTGGGGGGTCTCCGCTTCCCCCCACAGGCCGCCTTGCAGACCCTCCCCTGAGAAGGCTGGTGCTTCGACATTACATGTAAAAAGGATGGTCAAAAAAAGAAGACATAATTTACAGCAAAAATTCCGTAACACAAATATAAAGCCAGACAAAAAAAAAAAAAATGATGATTAATTGGGCAAACTCCCTCCCCCAGAGGGATAGCACATACCCAGGTGTAACAGTAAACAGACGGGGGAGCGGAGAGGAAGAAAAAAGCCTCCACATTTTCTAACCCAATAATTAAAAAAAAAATCTAAAAATCTCATTGTAATACTGAATGCATCTTACATTAATTTCTGCAAAATATCATCTCTTTACAACACAGTATACATTTTCTATGAAGGGAGAACAGAGTTACTTCCCCTCAACACTTCTGAGATTAATATTTTCTAATCATGCATAGCTAGAAAAGAGCATGAAATCAATACCATGGTCACTGGAGTACATAATACTGGTTAAAATCAGGGAAGAGCTGAACCAACTACTGAGGAGGAGGAGGAGGCGAACTCACGGCCCCCGGCAGGTGGCTGCCTGTCCTGGAAGCAACTGGGTGGCAGCACTGCGGTGCCCGGCAGCCCCACAGCGCCTGGGGCAACACAGAAACCCCCTGGGAGGCGTTTTTGCAGGGGCAAAGAAAGGAAATCCAAGCGAGCCTCTGGCAAGCTTAGGCCGAATTTACAGGAAGGCCCAGAAACAATGTCAGCACCACAAGTTTTAATGCTGACTCAGAGAAATGAGTAATTACTCATTACTCAATGAGTAATTTTTAGGAAACGGTTCAAAGCCATGGCATTGTAATATTTCAAGGGGAGGAGGAGATGGTTGTCCACACCCTCTCATCCATCCCTTCCCAAAGGCACGTGGAGTCGGAAGAAGGAAGGGGAGGAGGAGGAAGAGAGGAGGAGGGTCTTTCTTTGGAAATGTTGGGCTGCTTACACCGAGACCCCTCTGGCTGCAAGGCGCAGGTCTCCCGGCACCGCCTCAAGGCCCAGGGCTTCAGCTGCAGCTTTGGGACAATTGTGCAGCAGCTCCTTCTCACCACCCTTAGTGGACTTGACTTTGGCCAACCTTACACCCAGTACAATTTGCTTCTAGAGCTGTGGTGCTGTTTCAGAATAATACTTTTTGGATAAATGCAAGCTGGGATTGGGGTGTGTGCGTGTGTGTGTGCAGGAGGAAGGCAGAAAAGGGCCAAAAGTATAGGAAAAGACTTGAAGGGTGCTAAGCAAAGGGGGCTTTCGGGGGTGGGGGGGAAGGTTTCCTGCAGAGGAAGCCATTTATAGTGAAATTTGGGAGAGAAGGCAGAAGACCCCAGACTCATCTCCAACCCTTCCGCATCCATGGGAAGAGTCCCAGGACAGGCACCCCGGGAGAAATTCAGAAAGGGGGCTCCTTTCAAAGAGCCAAGTGGCTCAACCGCCGAGAGACCCTTCTATGGTCCTGGGAGGCCAACCACCCGTCTTTGTCTAGAGCCGCAGACCTGCAGGCCCCCAGAGGGACGGGGTGTGGAAATGGGGGCCGGCCGCCCTTCCAACAGAAAAGAAAGCAGCAGAAACGGCACCTTTTCAAAACCAAACCTCACCTTCCTAACAGTAGAACGGCTGGCAACATGGAGATTCACACACAAAATACATCTTTGTGTAAAGTATTTTTGGTTTTGCATCAGTGGAAGTAAGAAGACTTTTATAAAACCTTACACAACTAGAGGAGGGAAAGGGAGTGTCATTAAGGCACCATCAGGCATGTCCGTGGGCCCAGGCACGTGGGAGGCACGCCCTACGAGGCTGAGCGGTGTAGTTTTGCAGCCGTGCCGGTTGGAGATTTCCGGCTGACCCAAAACCTCTCTGAATGTCTTGACAAGGTTGGCAAAATGAATGACAACCGCTCCATGGCCAAACTTTTTCCTTTTGGGAAGACAACGGTTCTGTAGCAAATCTACTGGGAAGAAGGGAAGGCGCATCCAATTTTGTTCAACAGTCTCAGTAAGGAGCACTTGGAGAACGTAAAGAGACCTGAGGGCCTGGCTAGGCCTGCTCAGCGGTTTGCTCTTGGCGCCAAGAGGGGAGAAGGCACGTTGGCCATCGCCCTTGGGTGCTTCCTTCCCTTCTCCACAAGCAGAGCATCTACCTGGAGAAGCAAAAGCCCCGGCAGGGACTGGAGTTAGGGCAGAGCAAGGCCGTGCCCCTCCAGAGCCCAGCAAGGGAGCTTAGGAGGGGGAAGCGGTCCGTGGTTAGGCAGCGGCTCCACTGGCAGCTCAGCACTAATATTTTTCTTATAAGCAATAAAAAGCAGTGGGATACGTAAGCTCATCAGCCCTGCTAAACAGAGGCCGGCTGCTGGAAAACTGCAATAATAATAAGGCACAACTGACTTTTGCTTTTTCTTCCTGTTTGGTCCTATTTTGAATACCAGCCCAGGAGGCCGATCTATTCACTCTCCTGTAGTGGATGGTTCCAGCATCGCAAATTTGCATGAGGGGAGGGGGAGGGCGGGGGGGGGGGAAGGTACAGCAGAGGCTGGAATGACTACATGGACTCAAATTCATCGATGCGCTGCTTGGTGTTGCCCTGACGGATCTGGCGGAGTGTCTTGTACTTGTCACGGCCCTGCCGCATGTTCTCTGCATGGATCATGTCGTTGGCTGTCTTCTTGGTGTCGTCCCGCGCATTGGCCAACTCGGAGGTGAGAGCCTGCAGGGCAATAAGGGAGAAGGGGGAGACATCAGCCACCACATGGAGCCCGTCCGAGATCCTTCCTCCTGGCTGGGACTGGTTCTTTCTACCTTTTGGCACAAGGCTTTGTCTCACTGACACCACTTTCCCTGCAGGGCGTGATCAAGAGTTGTGTCTTGCCCTCAGAAACCTGGGTGGCTGCAAGGGGATGGGTAGCCTGGATGTCACATAGCATCCCCCACCCACATTTGCTAAGAACAGAGCTGTGGAAGAATTAATTCACACTTGGTACCCCCACTCAAGTAGGCAGCGCACTCCCTGTTTGGGGGCCTTCGGTTTCCATCGCCCCAGACAGAAATGGGCATGTTGGTATGGATACTGAGCGCCAATGTCCAGGGATCCCAGGCTGAAGGTGCCTGGAGGTCAGAGCAGAGATCCCACAAGGCTGCCTGCCACCCAAGCAGCTGCCCGGATCTCTTCCTCCTCCCCACAAGATCAAGGATAATGAGAAGATTCCTGGTGAGTGAGACCCTCGACCCAAGGCTACAAGCGGTGGCTGCTCTCAGACAGTGGGCTGGGCAGCAGGAGCAGAGGGCAGCCTTACTGCCTAGACTGGGTGGAGCAATTCACCTCCGGCTGCTTCTTTGTCCCCAAGAGCTAAAACCCGCACCGAGGCCATGTTGGTGAAATTCAGCTGCCCACAGAATGGGCACAGCAGTTAAGGCTTATATACCTCTCCACAGTGCTTTCCAAGCCTCTGTGAGCAGTTTAGAGTCGGCATATGGCCTCAAACAACCTGGGTCCTCATTTTACTGACCTCAGAGGGATGAGAGTCTGAGTCAACCTCAAGCCGCCCAAGATTGAACTAGAGACTATGGGCAGAGTTTGCCTGCAATACTGCATTCTAACCACTGTGCCATAAGCTTTCCCCTTCTCTTTTCAGAAAAATACCCTAAAACACAATTTGACTTCCAACCAGCCTATTTTGATAATGCCATATGCTTCTTGGTGATCCCAAACCAGAATATTTTTTTCCCTTCTGTTCTTTTTAAAAAAAGACCCAACTGCAAAAATGTTTGCCTGTCCCTGCCCTATATCCATGGGGTAAACAATTGTGTAGCCGCCACCACCTCTGAAGATCCTGAAGCCATCCCTCTTTTGTCCCATCCAAGGGCAGCTCCAGTCCTGGCCTTTGGCTTTTTCCTTCGTCTAGAGCTCCTCCACCGGGGCCACTGGGAGGTGTGTTGACTCCAACACCCAGCATTCCCCAGCCGGCAAGGTCAACGCCTCTTCAAGCGGCCCCACCCTCGTCCATCAGCTGCACCGGGCCGAGTGAGGCCCAGCTCACCTTCAGGTGCTTCTGAACCCGCACGTTCTTCTCTGCCTCGGTGGTGCGCTGCTCCTCGCTGCGGTCCTTGATGGAGGCGTGTGCCCGCAGTTCCGCACTGGCCTCTGCCGCGTTCTCGTCCTGCTCGTCATCGTGCTCGTTCTCCGACTGCATGGGCTCAGACACGTGCGGAGTGCAGGTGACGGACTTCAGCTCCTCCTTGGTCCTCTCCAAGTCCTCCTGAACCAACTGGGCCTGAAAGAGAGAGAGCGCGCAGCTGAAAGCACCCCAAGAAACCCGCTTAGGTCAAGAGGGCAGAAACTAGACTGGTGAGGGGATCCAGCCGTTTGACTGGAGCAGCAGGAGAGAAACGCCTCCATCCGTGACTTTTGCAAGGACTGAGAGCAAAAGCAGCCCAAGGAGGAGTCTGCATGCAAAGTTTTAAGGGCAACAAAAATGTATTGGCTTCACATCTCCAGATATATTTTGGTCTTGTATAGTAATATTGGAAAGTTCTTTTGATTGGCAAGAAAGCTTCAGAACAAGTTAAGTCACACAAATAGCACTCTGTGCAGAAAAGTCGCTCGGAAGAAAATCAATGGGAGGAGAGAAGTGGGGCCTCCACAAAGATCTTTGGAATTCTGTCACCAGCCAAAATATTAAGGAATCCCAAAGGCTCATTTTATACTCAGGGAGGAGAAAGAGCAGAGCCCGGAGAACAAAAAGTCAGGTCCATATGTATTTATATGCACAAGCTGCCAGCATCGACGTAGGTTGGCTGGACACCCTTTAGAAACAGTCTTGGCTTTCCCACTTCTCTGGAACAAAAACGGGCATTCTTTGAAAGCTCTTCCAGTCCCTCAGCCCTCTCCCTTCACCAGTCCCAGCGGGCAGCTGGGTGGGCAGAGCGGAGGAGAGCCACGGGCACTCACTTTCTGCTGCCACAGCATCGCCTCACTCTCCTTCTTCTGTTGCGCACATTCCAGCTGCGAGATCCGGGTGGTGAGCTCCAACATCTCACTGGTCTGCAAGGAGAACAGAGCAGCCCAGTCAAACCTCTGCAACCTTAGAAAGCCTGGCAGCCTCAGGGCCAAGGCCCCCCTCTCCAGCCTCCGAGGTCACCAGCTGCGCCTGGAAGGGCCCTTTTGGGTGGCTTCTCAGCCATCAGGAGTTCCAGGCCACAATTCAGGGACTAGTCAGATCCCTCCATATTTTCCACCAAACTGTCCACTCCCATTTTAATATCGTCTGGATTAGCTGCTAAATCACAGCTGCTGGAAAAAAAGACGATTTCCTGCATCTCCCTTCATTTCTTTCCTCTGCTCCTACTTCCAAGGCTCCTTCTGTGTTTGCTCAGCTGCAAAGGTCTAACCTCCAAACAGACCTGCCTTATAAGTCTATGAGAGGGCCAAAGCGGAGAGGAAGGATGGGAGTGGGAGAGACGTGTGTGTGTGTGTGTGTGTGTGTGTGTGTGTGTGTGTGTGTTAGCATGGCATTGTCCAAATACGTGGGGGTGGGAATACTGGTAGGATTTGGGGAGCTCCCTTCCCCATGTTTCTGGAGATACCATCACCACCAGATGAATTTGTAACTGACTGAGCAACCACAATTAACACATAGTCCTCCATGGAGCTGCATCGACATGGAGGGAAGTATGTAGTGGGGTACCCCAAGGTTCCATCTTAGATCCAGGACTCTTCAATATCTTCATAAACGATTTAGATGAGGGGATCAAAGGGAACTCATCAAATTTGCAGATGACACCAAGCTAGGTGGAATAGCCAACACTTTAGAACAGGGGTATCAAACTCGATTTCATTGAGGGCTGCATCAAAGTTGGGACGGCCTCCTGAAACCTTCTGCCAGCAAAAACAGAGCTTGGAAGGGACATGCATGGGCCTCGTGAGCTGTTTCTGCTGGCAGAGTCACCGTGGGCCGGTCCTTCGCTATCTCCAGAGATCTGGCCCCCAGGCCTTGAGTTTGACACCCCTGCTTTAGAAGATAGGCTGAAGATCCAAAAGGATCTTGACAGACTTGAACACTGGCCCCTAACAAAATGAAATTCAATGGTGAGAAAAGTAAGGTTTTACACTGAGACGAGCAAAAACAAATGCACAAATAGAGAATAGGTGATACCTGGCTCAACAGCAATAACTGTAAGAGGGATCTGGGAGTTCTGGTGGACAATCACGTATGAGCCAAAAGTGTGCCTCAGCTGCCAAAAAGGCCAATGCAGCCCTGAGCTGCACCAACAGAAGGATAGCATCAAGATCACATGCTGTAGTATTGCTTTATAGCGCACTGATGAGGCCCCGCTTGGAATACGGAATCCAGTTTTGTTCTTCACGATTCAAAAAAGAAACTGAGACTCTAGAAAGAGTCCAGAAGAGCAACACAGATGATTAGGGGATTGGAAGATAAAATATATGAGGAATGCTTGCGGGAATTGGGAATGTTTAACAAAGAGAAGGATTAAGACATGAGAGCAGTCTTCCAGTATTTGAAAATCTGTCACAGAGAAGAGAGGTCCACCTATTCTCCAAAGCATCTGAGGGCAGGATAAGAAGTAAGAGTGGAAGATCATTAAGAGAGATCAAACCTAGAATTAAAGAGAAATTTCCTATCAACGGGAACAATTACCGTATTTTTCATACCATAAGATGCACTGGACCATAAAACACATCTAGGTTTAGAGAAGGAAAAGAAAAAAAAATAGTTTTTGCCCTCCCCGGCATCCAGAAGCCCTCTGCAGACCCTCCGCAGGTCCCGTTTTCAGCTTCCCCAATGCTGGGGAGGGCAAAAAGGGTTTTGGCCTGCAGAGGGCTTCTGGACACTGGGGAGGGCAAAAATGGGATGCACGGGGGGCTTGGGAGGCCAGAAACAGGCCCGTATTCGCGCTATAAGATGCACAGACATTTCCACCGGTGGTGGGTTGCTACCAGTTCAGTCTGGATCTTGCAAACCGGTAGTGACGGTGGCGGGAGGCTCTGCCCACCCGCCCGGACGTCATCACGGATGCTCTGTGCATCTGCAGAAGCTTCTGTGCATGCGCAGAAGTGCCACATGGAAGCAAGCACACACGCACACACTCCCATTGCGAACCGGTAGCAAAGGTAAGTGGAACCCACCCCGATTTCCACCCACTTCTTTTTTGGGGGGGGAGGGGAGCGCACTTTATGATCTGAAAAATATGGTAATCACAGAAGGGCTTGCCTCCAGAAGTGGTGGGTGCTCCATCACTGGAAGTTTTCAAGAAGAGGTACGGCAGCCATGTATTCAGAATCATATAGGGTCTCCTGCCTGAGCAGGGGGTTGGTCTAGAAGACCTCCAAGGCCCCTTCCAACTCTGTTATTCTGTTATTGTTCTTCTGTTAATCAGCTGCAGCCTTTGGTAGGAGGCGGTGGAGTCCCACTCAGGAGGCCTGAGCTGACCCAGCAGAAAAAGGGGGCCTCCTGCACTTTCCGTGACTCAACAGCAGGGAGCTGCTTTTGGGGGGGGGGGTTCTTTGCATGCCCCACACCAGGAAGTGCATCTTCTGTTGGGCTGCGCATCTTTGGAAAGGCATGTCAGGGGCTACCTATGAAAGTTGGTTGGGCTCCTAGGTGAAACAGCACTTAAAATTAAATTTATTGAAATAAATTAATGGCAGTATCATTAATGCATGTTAAAATGGGCAGGAGGAATCATTTTCCCTTTGCCTCATCCTGAGAGTTCTGCTACAAGGGCAACTTTTTGAGAGGTGTCGGGGACGCTTCCCAGGCTTGCACAACCCCCTATTGCACACCTCTGCTTGAGTCCACTGGGCCGTCCTCCTGCAGCACCTCCCCTTCGGCCACCTTGGCTGCAGAGCTGACCTTCCCACTGTCCACCCCCAAATGCAGGCCCCTCTACCGAAGGGGCTTCCCTGGCGACTGGGCAGCTCGGAAGCAGTGCCAATGCCTGGGGCTGATGCCTACCAGCTGTTCCTGGGTCTTCTTCTGATCATTGGAGGCTTTCAACAAGGCTTCCTTGGCTTCCTCGGCTTCCTGCCGCTCCCTGGCCAGCTTCTCTGCCTCCTCCTCGGCTCGCTTCCTTTCCTGCTCCAGCTCCAGCGCCCTGCGCGTTTGCTCCTCCAGCTCTGGAGAAAGAGGCCGAGACGTCATCCCTGCTGCCCTCAGCGCTCCTCTCCCGGGGCCCATCCTGAGGCCAGCCCTCCTGCCCACCTTGCTGAGCTTTCTTAGTTTGCTCCTCAATTTGTCGGAGCTTCTCCATCAGCTCTTCTTTCTCACGTTCAATCTTTTCCTTCTCCTTCTCGGCCATCTCCCTCTTCTTCTTCTCGTTCTCCAGCAAAGCCCTGAGAGGAAAGGAAAAATGCAGCAATTTCATGCCTCCTTTATATAAAAAAATGGGCTGCTAAGCCTCTCTAAGGGCTTTCGGTATGCAATTTCTACTTAGTCAAAGTTGAAAATGGTCTTAGATGTCATCTAGTCCAGGGGTCTCCAACTGTCCAACCTCTTGCTCAATACAGGATCCCCCTAACATACAGACGGATGACCTTGCTTCTACCAATTTCTGTCTGAAGACCTCTAGTGACTTCTAAACAAACTGAAAAGGAAGACTGGGCAAACTTGTCTCATCCAAATCTTTTAATCCAACTGCATAATCTGTATATCTCAAATTAAAATATGGCTTGGAAAACTGATCTCTCCTGGGGATTGTACACTTTCAATTCAAAATCCACCATGTTTCTCTGGGTTGTCTCAAAAGGTTTTCCACCTTTTTAAAAGCTGAAGGAACCTGCTCAGAAGTCTTTAATCCCCTGGCAGGACCAGGAGAACCCTGGTAAAGGAGGGGAGTCAGGGATTTCCCCCATCTTTGCCAAGTCCCTTTAAACAGTGGTCCCCATCCTCCGGGACCTCCAAGAGGCGGAGCAAAGAACAACTTTATCGCTTGGCATCCCTAAGATGGAAGAATGTGCTTTTGTGCAGAATTATTCCAGTATACAATAGAACGCAGGCTGCCTTTACACTGAGATTTTGTTCAAACACACCTCAAAAGAGCCTCTGACTCTCCCCCCTCATGAAATAAGAGTTCTTGAAACCTCCCTCCACCTTAACAAAGCACCCTGGAACATCCTCCTCCACATCTGACTTGGCTGTTATCCTCATTTGGAGCCTGCATTCAAAGAGTTAGCCACCACTCTCCTTGCCACAACTTGTCTACCTGTCCCTTGGGAGTCCGGGTCTTCTGATCACATCTCAGTTGCAGGATTTTGCCCCCCCGAGAAGGCGCTGCACCCCAACCCACATCCTGCTGTGAGAATCCCTGGCCGGAGAAGCCCAGCCAGAGGGCAGCTCTGTGCTCAGCCAACTCACCTCTCCATCTGCTTCTGATGCTTCTCCTCTCGGGCCTGGGCCTTCATCTGCTGCACCTCGATGGTGTCCGGCTTACGCCTGCGCATGTAGAGCTCATGGTTCCCCATGCACAGAGCCAGAATGCGCTTGTTAATCCTTAGCCGGGGAGCATAGAAGACAAAATCCTTGGCAAAGGAGAAAGGACAAGGTTAGCCTTGAATGCAGCTTCCCTCGGCCCTCTTTTTCTCCAGAAGTAACAACACAACTTGATTACATGGGCTGTAATTTTTAGGAAATTAAGCGTATCTCCAAACAAGTATTTCTTTTTGCAGCATCTACCAGTATATACTATTACAATTCTTGTATCTTTTGTAACTTTCAATTGGACAAAAAAAGTGTGTGTCATAAGGCAACAATTTTTACAGCAAGGTATGTCAAATGGAGAGGGATGTGGTGGCTCAGTGGCTAAGATGCTGAGCTTGTCGAACAAAAGGTCAGCAGTTCAGCGGTTCGAATCCCTAGTGCCATGTAATGGGATGAGCTCCCGTTACTTGTCCCAGCTTCTGCTAAACTAGCAGTTGGAAGCACGTAAAAAATGCAAGTAGAAAAATAGGGACCACCTTTGGTGGGAAGGTAACAGTGTTCCGTGTGCCTTTGGCGTTTAGTCATGCTGGCCACATGACCACGGAGACGTCTTCGGACAGCGCTGGCTTTTCAGCTTTGAAACGGAGATGAGCACCGCCCCCTAGAGTCGGGAACGACTAGCACATATGTGGGAGGGGAACCTTTGCCTTTACCTTATCTCAAATGGGCTAACTTACAGAATGCATCCAAAATCTGGGATTCCCTTGGGATTTGAAACTTGCCATGGTCAGCTGCAGTGACAAGATCATCATTTCCAGCACTCCCTCCCAGCTTCCCAACAAGCAAAGTCACTAGAGGAGCCAGCAGAAAGTTGCAAGGCCGAGGCCAGCAGGCAGGTGAGGGGCTGCTGCCAGACGGGGGAGGGAGCAAATGGGAGTGTGAGAGGCAAGCACTGGTCAAGGATGCAGCAGCGATCGGAGAGGCTACATGCCGAGGGGTTAGCTCGACACGAGAACAAAGGGACTGGGGGGGGGGGAGGGTGCATGGGAGACCTGAGCAACTTGCAACTTCCCTGCTGCCTTCCCCATTGCCTTTCTCCCAGACAGCTTCCAACAAGCAAAGTCAGTGGGGAACCCAGCAGGAAGTTAGGAATCACTTCAGTGGGGCAAGCTTTTCCTGATAGAAACTAAAGTTAGTTAAATGATATTTATTGACCACCCAACTCTAGTGGGTGGCATGTAAAACCAGGAAAAACATCAAACAGCTAAGAACATGGAATCACACAGGCAGACCAGACTAAAACAATCCAATAAATGGAAAAACAACATCATTGTTTTGGGGCCTTTGAGCAAATTATAAACATCAACTCCAGGCCTTCAAGGCCTTCCAGGCGCCGTCTTTCTCTTGAGGTGGGGTGGTCTGGTCCAGAGAGCGGGGACCGCAGCAGAGAAGGCATGCTTCCTCAGTCCCACAAAAGGACAATGTTGAGTGGAGGGGACCTGGTGCACACCCCCACTGGGTGGGACATCCTGGGAGGGCAGAAAGAATGGAGGACGCGGGGTCTTCACCCATCCAAGACTCGGAGGGTCTTTCAGCGTGAGTGACTGGTTGCATTTGCATCGCATTTGCATAGCACCAGAGACTGCTGGGAAGAGCTGTTCATTGTAAATTCAGGAGGACTGAGACGAAGTCTAGTGGACCAAGGTAGCAGCCCGCATGATAACCAAAAACTAAAACTGTAGTTCATCTTTGGTAAGCTTTATTTTAGAGCGTCTGGCTTAGTTCAATGCAATACTTGTTTTGCAGCTATCTTTTGTGGCGCTCTTTTTAAATTCGGATACTGTCCCATTTGTAAGCAAATTGCTAATCTACATGGACAGATTGCTTATCTAGAGTCTCTAGTCTATGCTCTCCAGGCAGAAATTAGGTGCCCAGCTCAGCCGTCCCTTTCCTCTGTCCCAAAGATCCCACAGAAGGAAGGCAGGGAGGACAACTGGCAGGGCGACAACTGTTACCATTGGGAGCAAACCTCCAGCGTGTCTCGGGCAAAAGGCAAAAGGCCGTGCTAAGCCCTTTCCTCAGTCGTGGCTCAGCGTTCTTCTGCAAGATGCCCCTGGCCATTGACAGAGTCCAGAGAGCAGTGAAGGGGCCAGGACAAAATTAGGTGCCTTTCTAACTTTTACCTTATTTAACTGAAATCAAATATATTTGACACGTTCTTTCTTTCTTCAGACACATTAAAAGGTATAATCTGGTAACAACCGCAAGGCTTTGGGAGTCGAGCCCTGGGCTGAAGCCATTTCTGCAATCCCAGGGGAGCCCGGCCGTTGGGTCAGTAGAAGAGAGGCTGGGGGCTCAGGGGGATCTGTGGGGCTCAGCCCTCCATGACGACTAAACCAACCCTGGCTTAGGATAATGTGTAGAACACCATGTGCCCCTCTGCGCCTCCGCCACCCAAAATGAAAACTCAACAGGGACAAAAGCAGCAGTGATGGGTTTTGACAAGGCCACGTTAGCAGTCTTGGAGCGGGAACAATTATTCCAGAAACCGCCTCTTCTCGAGAGGGCTTTTTACAAAGCCAGCTTTACAGGTAGGTATGTATGTGTGTGGAAACCGCCCAGAGTTGTTCACTACAAGGTGGGCAGTAAATAAATTCAGTAAATAAATAAATATATTTCATATTTCTTAACTACCCATCTTCTTAGATAACCAAGATATAAACATCAAATTTAGAAGATCTTATCATTAGCTTGATGCAGTGGCTGCCCGTGATTGCTTTGGAAAGGATTTGTAGGATACTCCTGCACACAGCTTGGCTTTGCCCAGGTGCAGTTGGAGCCATCAAAGGTTGGTCTCTCTTTTCCTTCGGTCAAGTTCTTGCAACACTCACACTGAATTCTATTCCCATGACTTCCTGCCCAGCCAGAGCAAAACCATCTCTTTATATGCCTTTTGTTATAGTCCCTTTAATTGCCTGCAAAACTTGCCAACAGTTAATCTTCATTATATTTACTGTCAATTGGTTTTGTGTTTTATTGCTTCATTCCTTTGGTTAGCCTGGCTCCGTGATGGCGAACCTATGGCACACGTACCACAGGTGGCACCCAGCGCCCTCTCTGTGGGCACGTGAGCCATCACCCCAGTTCAGTTCCACCGAGCATCTGCATGTGCCTCCCACTGGCCAACTGGTTGTCAGGACTCTGCTGCGCATCCAGGGGGGGCACGTGCGGGGTGTGTGTGCATGCAGGGGGTAGGGGGCAGGGGCCCACATGCGCATGTGGGGGCGGGTGCATGTGCATTGCATTTTGGGGTTCTGGCACACATGCATTCGCGTATGCATGCTTTGGGCACTCAGTCCGGAAAAGGTTAGCCATCCCTGGCCTGACTGATTGGCTGAGGTAGCCCTGTTCTTCTTTCTGCTCATTTCTAGTTGGTGACCACAGTAGAGAAAGTCAGATGCAGAGTCAAAATCCGCTGCCAGGAAGTGGCCCCAAAAGCCCCAAGTCTTTGATTTCATTTGATCTGAACTTTCCACTTCTTTTTAACTAATCTCTGAATAAATTAATACACTAAAAGAGTTAAGTTGCAAAGCGTAACTTACTGGGGCTTTCTTGTCAATGGGCTTGATGACAAACTTCTTATCATTGAAGGAAATGTTTCTGATCTCACTCCAGGGGAACCCAATTTTGGGTGTTAGCCTGTGAAAGAGGATTTGTAATTTCAAAAATTAAACCCCAATGAACAGTTGCAGTGATCCAAATACCTGTTTTTGTTCACACCCTCCATACATTTCCCACCAATGAACGTGTTCGGATTCAGAATGTAAGTGGAAATTCCAAATTCCACTTCCACAAATTCCAAGGGCGGTATAGAAATTTGATTAATAAATAAATAAATAAATAAATAAATAAATAAATAAATAAATAAATAAATAAATAAATAAATAAATAAATAAATAAATAGATAGATAGATAGATAGATAGATAGACCAAACTATGTAACTGAACAGATCTAGGAAACGAATGGCAGCTCAAAACAAGGCATCTAATTTCTAAGGTGCCATCCGAGGCATCCAGTCCAAGCCGGGAGTCAGGTCCAAAGGATGACCAGGATATAACCCGCATCGTGTGTGTGATGGCATCGTGATAGGCATAAAGGTAGTCCTCAAAACCACAATTAGGACCAAAATTTCTGTTGCTATGCAAGGTAGCTGTTAACTGAACTGCACCCGCTTTTGCCACAGTTGTTAAACAAATCCTGTGGTGGTTAAGTGAATCCAGCTTCTCCCATTGACCTTCCTCACTGGAAGCCAAATGGTGACACTGGGATGCTGCAACTCTCGCAAACACATCCCAGAGGCCAAGCACCTCAAATCTGGCCCTTTCGCCATGGGGATCTGTGCAGACTGACCGTAAGTCACTTTTTTCAGCTTCTTCATATCGTTGGTAAACGAATGATTGTAAGTCAAGGATTCCCTGTATTGTCTCTTATCCTCCCTGCAGATGCCTACAAATCCAACCTTGAACTCCAAAATGGCAGAGATCACAAGGAAGGGGAAAATACCCGGTTTAAAACGCCAGGTAGGTCCTGCCCTCCACGCGCCCTCACCTCTGTTTTGGTGCAAATTGTGCAGCCACCCCACTCCACAAAGGCCAGGAAGACATCCTCATATTGCATTTACTTCAATGGTGCTTCCTACACTAGAGTAGGTAGGTGTCATCTAACAAGACAAGGATCATCCGCACAAATCTGGGCCATAAGAGTAACTTTTCCTACTAATTAAAATCTATGTGTATCTGTGTATATCAAAAGTCTCTTGATACATGAAATTAAGATTGCCCAGAACAATTCTTGCAGCCTGAAGGTATATGAAGATACAGAGACAATTCAAGCAGTGAGCTTAGCTTCATATAACAGGAAGCAAAAAAAACCCCAACCCTCTTAGCCAACCTGAGGAACTTTCTCACTTCTGTTTCAAGGACAATGAGGATGAGAGCAAAATGAATCGCAAAATCCCTCTGAGCCTAGGAAGTAATTTAATTTCTGGGAAATAATTATGTTGGGATTAAAAAGCAAGTTACATTTGTTTTTATTGTTTTAATGTTTTTAAATTGTTTTAATCATTTTATAATTTTAGAATTATAAGCTACCCAGAGACACTTGATTAAGTTGGACAGCTATATGAATGAATGAATGAATGAATGAATGAATGAATGAATGAATGAATGAATATTCCAGTAAAGATCTGTCAGTAGATTCATAGAATTGTGTGAGAACTGGAAGCAACTAATGGCAAACCAATGCCAGCACAGAGAGTCACTCTAGGCTAGAAAGAGCCAACAGAACAACATCAAAACCACATAAGATGAAAAGGAAAAGAGAATTGCTTGCAGACTATGTGACCAAGAAGGTGGCCGTGTCTAGTTGATCAAAGGAGAAGGTGGCTGTCACCATCCGTGGAGACTTTGTCAGATCCAGCTGTGTCCTGCTCTTATAAACCCTCCCCTCTCTCAATCACTCTCTCTTGTCAGTCAGACAGACAGACAGACAGACAGAAAGACACACACACACACACACATCCCACCGTGCACTCTATCGGAAGATTAAGGAGAATAGTTTTGTTACCGGTCATTCTGTTCATAAATGTTGAGTCCAAGAGCATCTACTCCTAACCAGAGTTCTGAGCCTTTCTTGTTCTTAATACTAAAGTAGTTCACACCATACATCTCCAGATCTTGTGCAATTTTTAGGTATTCTAAGATGGCATCTTCTCTGAAAGGACCAAGAAAACAAAACGTATGTTAATGTTAAAAGCTACATTTTGGTGGTGCATTCTCAAAAGCATCCTCTTTTTTGCAACAGTTGGTACTGCATCCAAAAGAGGGCACTGCCCATTTGATTAGAGCATTGTGATTTTTAGTGCATAGGGTCTGATTTAGAGTAACAACTAGATAGCTCAGCCAGGGCATGGAGACACAGACACTTTATCAATCTTCCCATCTGTCTTAAGGGTACATGGCTGAACAAAGGCTCAGGTAAATGAAAGTCAAGATGTGATTGCAACTGTTTTTACATGCATCATGCATCGTTAGATGCAATTATACCTGGCAGATGCCCCTGCAAGCAGAATACCTCACAAGGGGACTTGTACAAGTCATAAATAATGCTCTCTTCTGTTCTTGCCAGCCATACCTGAGCATCCCCCGATGTTCCTCATGCCACACCTGGATTCTTTCTTCCCACTGATCCTTGTTAAGTTTATGCTGTTCCAAAACTCTACAAGGCAAAGAGATGGAAGACGTATTAGGATACGTGGACAGCTCTGCAAAAACAAATTCTTCAGCTACATGAAGTTCAACCATGAAAAGAACCTCCAAGGTTTCCACTTAGTGGAAGAGAGGCGACATGAACATGGGCTGCAGATCACACTGCAATTGCTTATGGTCTTGAATCTCCAAGGCTTGAATCTCTCTCTGGGTGCTTTTAAAAATCACCTCTCTCGGGTCTTTGCTTCCCAAGGGTTTCTCCTTCTCACATTGTTTTCCAATTTTTCAAAATGTCTCTGTCCCAGCTCTTAAAGCGACAGTAGTTTGGGATCTAAGCATTATTTTACTAAGGAAAAGAAATAAATGAAAAACACACACCAAAGGCATTTCGGCTGCATTCGCACACTGTGCTCAGCACAACTTTATTTGTGTCTTAACATCATATGGCAATTCACTTAACTGTGGTTTATTCAGCAAACCACAGTTGAGCGCACCGTGTAGCCTGACCAACCTCAAAACAGAGAGGGTGAGGCTCATCCATTGTGGAATAAGGTCCAAACTGTGCAGCAGAAAAGTGGGGTATAAAGCTCGTAATAAAATATATAGCTATGCATTTAAAGGGGGAACTGCAACTTTGCCAGATTTCGCTCTACCTTTGAGGAAGCAGTTTGTCAGTCGTTAGATAACCGGGCTTATGAACCTCCTTATTGAAGTCCCCGTATTTGGACTGGACCGCATAAGAAGCCAGGAGAACGGCCGTCTCCGGGGGACAGTAGATGTCATCGTTCAAGATGGCCTCCTTCACTTGGAGGAAAAACAGGCGCTGCGTGATATCTTGGATCAGCTCCTCTGCGACATCCTCTGGGAAGAATTTGGCCCGGAATTTGAAAAGCAGCGGGCTCTCTTTGCGCACGTCCTGAGCTGTAACCTGCAGCACATTGTGGCAAAATCAGGATGAAAAAACACATCCAGAAGCATCACAACCGAGAACTCTTGGGACAAACACTAAGCCAGGAGATCTGTGGAGGTCCAGGTCACGGCTCTCCCAAGGGCGCTTTTTCAAAAGGCAACTGGACTTTCTTGGTTTTCCCTTGAAGACGTTTTGCTTCTCGCCTAAGAAGCTTCTTCGGTTCTGACTGAATGGTGGAGATTGGGAGGTAGTCATCTGGAATATAAGGAATCTAAATCCTTCCATTCTCCACCATTCAGTCAAGGGAAAACCAAGTAAGTCCAGTTGCCTTTCGAAAAAGCGCCCTTGGGGCTACTAAGCCAGAAGGCCTCTAAATCCACTACCCATGACCCCAGCCACGGGCCCCAGGTTGGAGTGCCTGCCCTAAATCCAAGGGCAGCTTGTTAATCTATTCCACTGGGTTGACTAGCCTACTATTTCTAGCTCAGCCTTTGCCCACCATTGTAGCTTTCCAACTTCCAGAATTCTGGAACGGCCAAGGCTGAGAATGTTGGGTGCTGAATGTCCTACACCTAGAAGGTGCTCAGGTGGACAAAGCAGTAGGCTGGCAATGCCACCTGCAACCTATCAGCCTGCTAGATGGAAGGAAAGCTGGGAAGGTGCTCCAGATTCAGAGGTGGGGCTGCAGCCTGTCTCAGAGAATGACGGGACCATCGTCTGTGACTCCCATTCAACAAAGACTGACAGGGGCCCAACCCCACAAAGGCAAACCTGTTTCATCCCTGCCCAAGAAAGTAAACTCCCTTTTTCAGGGGGGGGGGGCAGAAGCAGAAAATAAAATGAGAGGCACCTCCATACCTTTTTATTTAATTTCAACCACGTGGAGAAGCCCTTGGTGTCCTGGTACTGGAGTCCAAAGAACCAAACTTCTCGCAGGCCGATCGTTTTCACCACCTGTTCATGAAAACCAGACAGCAACACGTGAGCAAGAGGAAGGGGCTTACGGCTCACTGCATCCCAGGAGGAGAAGGACCACCAAACCCCTTCAAAGGTCCGTCATGGCACAGCTCCAAGCGGGCCAAATGGCGGGCATGGGTGCATGTCAGCAGCAATGGGGGACTCCCTTCCTTCAGGGTTTTTGGCACAGAACAAGCTCTGCCCTAAATACCCTCTAAAAGAAACTGGGATTCATCTGGGAAGCGGCCACCTGCCATAAGGGAGCTGTCCTCTTTCCCCAGACAGGGGCCAAGACGGAAGTGGCGATGGCTGCGGCTGGCATCCCCTAGGCAGCTGTTGGCCGGGGGTGGGTGGGTTAGGGTGGGATGCGCAGAGAAGCTCTGCCCGCAGAAGGCTCCCACACAGCCCATTAACAACCTCACTGCCCAGACCAGCTGCTAAGTGGAGATTCTCAACAGCTGTGCCTGCAAGAAGAGGCTTTTTCTAGGAAAAAGAAAGAATGATTTGGGGAAAAATGGTAGGAAAAAATACAGGACATTCAACAAAGAATGACAGATATTCAGTTAGAGTTGGGAAAAAAAATACCAACTATTTCCATAACTACGTAGATCTCATTTCTCCTCTCAAATGCTGAATGTTCCTTACAAGTCCTAGCATATTTTTTCTCTTTTAGATGCTGGATCCATTTTGAGATGCTTCTCTTGGCTGAGATCCTGTCCCTCAGAATAAAACCCAAAAGCAGAGTGGCCACTTGTGGCTCCTTCTGCCTTTGATGGTCCTGGGTGACCAAGAGCGTCTGCTGCGCCCAAGGGGAAGAGCGTTTCCACATGCAACGCACGTGCGCACGCGCACACACGCGCGCGCGCGCACACACACACACACACACACACACACACACACCACTGTGCTGGGCTCCACCTGGAGAGCCTGTGCTGCAAACCAGCCCCTCCTCCGGCCAACTTCTCTCCGCCAGGCGACTCTCCTGGGCTTTGCGCAGTGTGGCCACATCAGCCTTGCACGGAAGGGGGGAAAGATGCCTGGGTAAGGGTAAAGGTCAAAAAAGTCAAGATGGCAGAACTATCATAAAAAGGAGCATGCAGTTGCAGGAATTATCTTGACTTATTTGACCCCCAATTCAGTTCGAAATGTATGAAGAGTCATTAATATCATACTGGCATTCTCTCTCTTTTCTAAAGAAGGCATCAGGGCGTGACTCATGCAAAACCACAGGCAGCTGTGGCCACCAAGTAGTCTGCATTCCATGTGAGAATAGAGAGGCTGTTCAAGATTTTGTCCGTCCTCTAAGGTATGGGACAATTTTAATTTAAAAAATGGGACTTCATAACGAAATCACGATTGCCAAGACTTGTTTTGAGATGGTGCCTTTGAGGTGTTTGACTACAGCTCCCAAAATCCATGAACACTGATATCCTACCTCACATCTGGACGATACAAGACTGCCTAACCTGGGAAGAGATAGTACTGCCCTACATTGCACTGGTTCCAGTTCTGGTCTCCACAATACAAGAAGGATGAAGACCCCACGGAGCTGGTAAAGGGCTGCCTAGGAGGCTGGATATATGAAGAGCAGTTGAAATAACTGGGTCTGTTTAGCCTAAAGGAGAAGGAGAGCCATGGTAGCCATCTTCCAATACCTGAAGGGCTGACCCAGAGAAGAGGGGGTCCATCTATTCTCCCTATGCCAGAGGGTACAGTAAGGACCAGTGGCTGCAAGTTATAGTGAGGGATCCAAGCTTGAGCCAAGTTTTAGTTGTGGGTGCTCCATCACTGGAGGTTTTCAAGAAAAGACTGGACAGCTATTTGTCCAGAATGGGATGAGGATTCCTCCACCAGGCAGGGGAGTTAGACTCAAAGACCCCGAGAGCCCTTCAACCTGAGAGTTCTATGAATGGACAAGCCTTGGATCCTGAAGGGAGATTTGTTCTTACGTTCTGCTGTGCAAATTACATACATTTTTGCTGTCTAATGGGCAGTCAAATCCTAAACTTTACTAGATTACAGGCGGCTAGATTCCCATGTTAACGGCAACACAAAGTGCTGACCAAAATGACAATGATTTACATTTTTTTCTACTGGTGCCAAAGAAAAAAAAATAACAAAGGGAAAGAGAATAGAGAACTCTCCATCATCTAGAAATGTTAAAAGAGCACTTTAATATAAGTCAATTCATACTTTAAAACATGATCAAGGCACACTTGGAAAGCAATGAAATAACTATTTAGAAATTAAATAGAATAGGTATTCTTCACTCTTTATACTGTTTTTACACTGTTGTTCTTAAGACAGAAATATATATATATAAAAAACCATTGCAAAAGGCAAAACAGCAACTTGGCACCATCTAGATGCTTTCCTGAGCAATGGACAAATGCTTCCATTCACCAACCGACCGCCAGGCATATGAGATGGGACCCTGAAAGGAGACACTCGGATGGCATGGAAGGAGGGGGCTCGCCATCTATCTCGGCGAGGCACTGAAAGGCCAACAGCCGCCAAAGGCAATCCAGAGGCCAGAGGAGGAGCCAGTCAGCCAGCCAGAAGCAGGACATGGTTTTTCCCAGGCTGAAGAATTGGCACCTCAAGAACAGCAGAAGAATTGAATCTCCTGCCCAGGAACCCTCCAGGCTACTGCTGGAAGTGGAAGGCGGAATGGGATGACTTGACGCCATTAGCTCAGTGCGGCCAGCTGGGTGCAGCCTTCTTGTCACCCCCATCCCCTCTGCCAACTCAGTGCCATTTCTTTGCAGGACATGTCAACACCGGAATTCACTGTGGAGTTATGCCCCGCCCATCAACACCCCCCCTTTGACAGCCCTCTTGCTTGCCCAGCTCTCCATTCGGCCCTGGGGGAAAGAGAAGGGCCCAAGTGTGGAAGACAGACAATTTGAGGTGTCTACATGGCATCAATTATGCTGAAGTTTTCTCTGGCAAATCAGGCAACGTACATGCACTGAAAGGTCTGGGACTCTGCATCTCTTTCCTTCCCTCCTCCTCCTCCTCCCTGTTTGCAAGGATGTCCATTTGGGCAGCTTGAAGGGGGCAGAGGTCAACAAAGATGAAAGCTGTGGGATTCCCAGTGAGCTTTGGAGAATAGTCCCTCTTCTGGTTTGGCCACATTCTTGTCCACCTTTGAATATCCTATTCGATCAGGGCTCTTGGAGCAACAGACCCTGCGCCTCCTGGGAAAAGGGAGGAATGTCCAGGAATGTTTAGAATTCACAACTGGGGAAGAGGAAAAAAGAAGAGATGGGGCCTATGGCATTTCTGAAGGCACCTATTGTCCCCTTTATTTGACCTGACCGGACTGGTAACTATAAAGCTTCATATATACAGCCTCACCTCTAGCGTGTCCATTCCACTGGCAACCCCTGGTGAGTTAATATCTTTGAAGAAGAAATAGCCATCCTGCATTAGCATAGTAAAAGCAACTACAAGATCCAATCCAACATTTGAAATATGTTGTCAATATCACCTCCAATGCAAAAGAACTCAAGTGATAAAGAGGAGTGCGGTGGGATTATTATTATTATTGCAAGAAAACTGAAGGGAGGCTGCGTTCTGATGGCTAAAAAGATGCACCGTTGTCTTTAAAAGAGTCATTTCAATGGTTAGCCTTGCACAACAGCATTAAAACTTAGCTTAACATTATTAACTGCAGAGTTAAAAGCTGGGCCACGGCAAGACTTGGCATTGGAAGGGGATGAGAACAGTCAGCCAAGCTGTTTTTCTTTCTCAATAGGGCAGGCTGGGCAAGTTGGGCAAAAAAAATAAAGTATGGAACAATTACTTTGATTTCCCATTGTGGCCAGGCTGAATGGGTTATTTCCTTTGCAAATCAACTTCCTCCTCTTGCAATTGTCCAGAGACAGTTGTTGAATTCCAGAGTTACATTAGAGAAAGAGCAGATTAGATGATTTATCTACAGCCTGGTAAAAGGATCCCTGGCCCTTCCTCGGAAGACGCCACCCTCCGCCTGAGGCCCAGCTCCCTTGAGCCAGGCAGCCCTGCTGTCCAATCTCAGCCAGGCTCTGGAGGCAACCTGGCACTTCTCAAGAGAGGTCCGCAGGGGAGGAACAGCCAAGGTATTCCTGGTCCAGATCTCTCCCTTGTGGGAAGCTGACATAGATGGGAAATGCTCCACGATTTCTCAACCTGGCCTGCTTTAAGATGTCCGGACTTCAAGCCTGGTGGCTGGGGAATTTGGGGAGCTGACATCACCCATCTTCAAACTGTCAAGGTTGAGAAATATTGCTCCATGCACTTTAGCACCATCTGGGCCAACCCAGAAAGGCTCCCCAGGTGAGGCGCTGGATCCCAAGAGTGCCAAGGGGTCCAAGCAGGTGCCTCGCCATCTCCAGCATCACAGCCTCAACAGACGTTTCCAACAAGGCTCCCTTGGATAACACGCAGGAGGCTCTTTTCCAATGAAGTCCGCGAGGGCTCTTTCTGTCCAGGTTAAGCCAAACTTTCCTTGGTAGCTCTGGGAATTCTTTTTCTTCTGTTGCATGTATTGTTGGGGTGGGGGTGGGGGTGGGGTGGAGTGGGCACATTTTGAGCAACTCCTTTTGCCGGTCTCTGAGGGAAAACCCCACGGAGGAGACTTGAAGGTCACATTCCCCTCCCTTATAGGTTGTTTTTAACTTTTAGTCACCCATTGCATTTATACCTGCTTTCTTACTAATACACACACCACAGCTAATAAATATGCAAAATAATATATAAATACTGTGTTTCCCCGAAAATAAGACCCTGTCTTATTTTTTTTTGAACCCTGAAATAAGTGCTTGGCCTTATTGCCATGTGCTCAAAAGCCCAATTGGGCTTATTATCAAGGGAGGTCTTATTTTGGGGGAAACAGGGTATATATATATGTGTGTGTGTGTGTAAGTAGCTATTTATAATGTATACTATTAAGTATATTCATTTATAATATAAATGTTTATATATATAATATATAAAAATGCACACACCCCCAA